TGCTTGGACAGGAATATCTACATAATACGTTTCGAAATTATTTCGCTTAACAAACAACTACAAGGACTAATAAGCAACCCGCTGTATAACTACCATCATTTAAAAATTTAAAACAATCACAGAGATCTAGAGAAAAAATTGTAAGTTCTGTTAAAAATTTAAGATTGCTGAAAAAACCAACGCATTACGAATAATATTCCAATATTATATATATTTTTTCATTTATATTTAAATGAACAATAAGTTTTACCCATCAAAACTGTTTTTTCTTTAAAAATATTGAAATTATATGAATTATATGAAATGCTATATTATAGACTACTAAATCAACACCATAAAAATGTATTTTTATTTGAAATATTATTACTTTTCACATAATTTCGTTATCAAACTAAAAACTACGGGATAAATAACTGACTATTTCAAAGTAATATGATTCATAAAATAGATAATGTATGATTTTTAAGTATTTCTATTATTGGACAAAAATAATAATTTATTATTACAACAATCTAGGCAAATACCAATATTTAAAATCAGTTAAACACTTTAAAATGCAATTAATTGTTCAGATTTTTCAACATTTAAAACCATAGATAAATACGTAACATAAACCACCGACATAAAATAAATAGTTAATTTTGTATTCTAAACTAATAAAAGAACAATATATATATTTTAGATGTGCTTTAAAAAGATTGTTATTCTACAGCACCAAAAAATTAATAAAATCTTACATAGGTAAAATTTTAAACTCTCTATAATTTTATGTATAATTTATATACGAGTATACTAATTATTATATTTGTTAAATAACCAATACAAACTTATGAAAACAATAAATTATAAATCTGCTTTTGACTAGTAGTTATAATTGAATTAAATTATAGTTTAATAATAATATAAATAAAATATTATATATGAATAATAACAGCAATAAATATTCTTAGATAAATAATTCATTGTGAAGAATGCATTTTTAATTTTTGATTCCTCGGTGTATGTAAATGTTTGTGAAACAGAATACATACTTGTATTTTAAGCCAAGGGATAGAATCAAAAGGGTAAGACGAACAGAAACGAACCCCTTTTTACAAACAATACAAGAAATAAGTTTATATAGATGCTTACTTAATTTACAACTTTGGTTTAATATTTATATTCAAATTTACCAGAATAAAACTAAAATAAATTAAAGTACATACTTTTATATAATTAAAAGATTGAAACTTTTAACCATAAAATAAAACTATATCAATAATAAAAAATACAGCTATGAATTTAAATTTTGAAGTAAAAATATATTTATAATTTTATTTAGTGTTAAACAGTGTTGTGCAAATACAAATTGTCAAAATGGCAAGTGGCTAAAGCACCGATATTTATAATCATTACACTACAGTAAATGATTTCCCAGTTCGAAGACGCTAAATCCACCTACACCCAGTTTACCGACACTTAATTCGCCTACATCCAGTTGGCTAACAAACCCCCACTTTGACAGCACTAATTTTTAGATATTTAAACTAAACACAAGTAAAAAAAAAATGAAGTATAAAATATAAAATAATATATAAAATAAATCAAATCTATATTTACTCCAAACAAAGAATTTATTTATTGTATTATTTACATACATATTTCACTGCATAAATGTATTCGATAAAAACTAACATCGTTTGAATCCTATGAATATAATTATCATCTACAAGCAAGACTTGATTGCTTTCAGAATTAATTTTGAACGTTTACGTCAGTAATTTTGTCAACAACCAATGTCGTAATCTCACGACATAACTTATTCACTTAATATGTCGGCGAAATATGAATTTTCTGAAACGCTTCCTTTTTTTCTTTGCGGCCAACTGGGTTTCAGCGAATTAGTTATCGAGGAACTGAGTATGAACCGTAAAGTCATTGTCCAATAATTTCCTATAACTTTATATTCTATTGATCATTTTATGAAATATTTATAAATTCATCAATAACACTACACACACACACACACACAGACAAAACAGTTATATACCGCCAACACCACCGCACCACGTCGAACGTATACAATTATGTAAAGTTACGGAAATAATAATATTTATTATAACTACGATTATTTATAGAATTATTCACCTCACGTACCCAATGAGTCTAATACGCGTATATAATATTTACATACGAACACGTACAGATTATTCAGCTGAGATGAGTGATAATGCTTAGTAAAGATTTAATTGATCGAATAGGTATTATTCCCTCGTACACTGTTCATTGTTTTTGTTACACACACGTACACGCATACACACACACATATACACGGGCAACGACCGTTGGAACTTGGGTTCTCACCTGGCCCAAAGGCCGCTCAGGTTTATCGCTACCGGTTCATAATGAAAATAATAAAAATAATAAAATGGAATACGAAAAAAAAAACTGCGCGCGTGCGCCGGTTATTATAGCCTGCGAACGCCGGTTGCACGCGTATATGACCGACGACCCTTTTCGCTTCCTTTTATTCGTTATTTCCCCCCGGACAATATTTAAAAACGGATTCGCCCTGGAGCTGTCGATAATCCACCGCTTTAAAAATGACCCTTGATACAAATTCTATTTTTCTCCGACTCCCTTCCCCGCGCTCACTTGGCAAACTTACGGTAGGGGGAGTAAACAGACGGGGTTGTGTTATTGTAAGGTTTACAATAGTACGGCAAAAAAAATAAAACAAGTATTTTCGTTTCACCTGGTGTGGAGGGCGCGTGGCAAAAATCAGTGGACCCATAGGCGGACGGCGGGGAAGGTTGACGTCCCCCGAATGATTAATTTCGCACGGTTGATCATCACGGACGCACAAGCTAAATTAAATGCTGCCCCCTCCTAGCTGATGCTGGACAAATTTACATCGAAACGTCATTTGTATTATGATGCGTCATTTTTACCAGGTCCGACAAAAAACCAAAAACTATGAAATTAATAAAAACTTTTGTCAGTATGACATGAGTTTTCCCCATTGGTACATATTCGTATATAAGAATAACTGCCACAGTAATTTTTCTTTTATATAACATTTTATATTTGATTAAATATACATTTTGAAAGTTAATATAATTCGTCTGACTTAATTAATTCGTCGATCTGTTACCAACTTTTAATATTTAATTATAATATAAATTATAAAATACAAAAAAAAAAATTAATTGAAACTGACAGTAAACGAATAAATACGATTTCCAAAAGAATGCACTAACAATATATCTAATTAAGTTCTGGCAACGTTTTTAACTACAGGAATAAGTTAAAAATCCATTAAAAATTATTAATATCTTAGCAAAATTATACATTTCAAGATTTTAAGAATTTGCAATGATGTATCATACGTCCAATATAATTATCGTACATATAACAGAAAGAAACTTATCATGAGTCCTACCATTTTAAGTGACTTAAGTTTTTCCGCTAACTACATATTGTATTATCAAGCATAGTAGTGTTAATTTATTTACGTTAGTTTAGTTACAGAGATCAAAAATATGTGCATTGCATAAATATATTATAAATCATTTTAAAAAAAATAACGGTATTTTATCTTTATACATAAAACAGAGTTTTTAAATTATAACGTTAACACATTCAACTTTCAAACAATGATAAACTGTGTACTAAAACCGACATTGAATTGTTTGATAAACGCTTATTATATTTTGTAAATTAATACTTCCTATTCTTAAATTTAAATAATTTGTAATCTTGATCAGTAAATACAAGTTTAAATAAATCTTAACTTGACACAAGTTGATCATAATTGTATAGATTATCAACTTAAAATAAATAAAATAATTTTAATTGTGTTCTGCGCTTTTACTCTCTGATCAACCAAATAATTATTTTAGTTTAAATAAAAAAACATTTTTTTATAAAACTAACAGAATTCTGCAATCTACAGATGTATAATATTTAAAAAAAATTATGTAATAAACTTATGAATTTCACTGGTTTTTGTTATTAATGTAGATATGAGCTATCCATTAATTAATTGAAGATTACTTATAAATACACCGTTTAAAATAATAGTTCGAGTGTAATGTTGTATGTATGACCTATAAATGTACCTACTTTAAAAAATATTTGATACTTTTTAAGAGTAAAAAACAAGAGTTATAACATAATTTGAAAAGACATTGGCTTGTAACTTTATTTTAAAATGTCATATGAATATGGGCATAAGCTAATTTTTCAAGTTCGTCGAATTAATTAATTCTTTATTCCATAATTTAGTTATATATATATATATATATATATATATATATATATATATGTTTTATCATTTTATTGATAATATTATATTATACTTATTGTTTTTACTATTGTGTTTACAAAAATGGTAAACATTATAGTGTTGTCTAATTATTTGAAAACCAGATTGGATAACCGAATTTTTTAAATTTTAGTGTCGTCTCAAACAAAAAGAAAAAACTAAAAATACCATAGAGGTATTAAATGTAGTGATCTAATTACAGCGTTAAAAAAATAGACCGTTGTGAATCAGCAACACTCATTGTCGTAACAAATCCTAAATGTATTTAACGCCCTTAAAATTGCAAATGCCATTTGTTGTATACAATCTAGTAGGGTGAACATAAAAAAAACAGGTGAACCCTTAGGGGTAAGAGGGTGACGTCACACGTGGGTGGCAGCGGCAGCAGCCATGTTGCCCGGTAGTAGCACGTGCCAGCGGCGACCGTGTGACCGCCCTCGCGGCATCAAAGAGGGTTAAAAAATACAATGGCCCCAAAAATCTTCGGCCGATCTAACGATCTATCTACAAACGCATAGAGAAAAAAAACACTTCGCGGGTTCATCGACGAAATTAAAAAAGATTGACAAATAGGATCAAATAACGTATGACTCTACGTCTGCATACGATAAAAAGTAAAATATTTGTTGACCAATACTACACACCAAACTACACTAGATATATATAGATAATAACAAACGTGCAAAACACTCACCATTTTTCCGCTGTGGTTTTGCTTGTTTCCTCCTTCCTCTCGATGGCGACAAAAGTTCCGCCGGTCTGTTTTGGTCCTCTATTAACGATTCCATTTCTCATTGAAACGGTTGTACAACTTGCATCCGCGAGAGCGGGTCCCATAAATTTCCAATGGCCACCGTTCGAAAAATACGCGCCGCACTGGGGTATATTTAATTATTTTCACGAAATACAAATATTAAAACGACGTGTAAATTAAATTCGTTAAGTAAAAAAAAAAACGGTCTAACAGACCGTAAAAACTATGGTAGTATGAATGTGTGTGTTTATGTTGTGGATGATTTTTTACATGTATATATATGTATAAAATATATTTGTGCGTTCAACGGTATACTATAATTTATTTTATAAATATATACCTAATGCACATAAAATATTTGATTATATTATTATTACGTGTTATGTACAATGAGAGTGTGAAAGATAAATCGGAAGATAGATGAGTGTATGTAAAGATGATAGACAGAGAGCGTGTAGACGGACGAAAAAAGAAAAAAAAACCGAAACGAGAAGCGCACTTTCGAGGGGATCGTCGGTTGATCGAGGATAGACGGCGTGGAATTGTACGCAGTTGCTTCGGACAAGGGACAGGGTGCAGTGTTAAGGGATGGGAGAAGGAAGGGTTAGGTCGTCCGACGGGGCGAATGTCGCACGGATGTGTCGTCGGACCGTCGTCGTCGTCGTCGGCGGTGACGGCGGCGGGACAAAAGACGGGCAAAAAGACGTGAAGGAGGAAGAATAGAAGAGCATAGTACGCGTGGAGAGCGGGTGAAAAGTGCGCGGCGCGGACGTCAAACCACCGGCATCGCTAGTCCGGACTGGTGATGTTGCCGCCGCCGCCGTGGACGCCGCGCTCCGTTTCCAGGGGGACCGTCTGAGTGCAGCACACGACGCGCGCACACGTTGCGATGTGCAGTGCGTTGTGTGTTCCCCTACCCCGTGACCGTTGCACGGCGCTAGGGACGATCGGCAGCGGTGGCGCGGAGGGTGACGGCGATGCGTCGAGACGACTGCCGGTCTTCCACGCGCGCGGTTGCGGCCGGCGGAGGGGCAATTTATCGTGAACGGTGAATCAGTGATCGCGCACGCGAAGGGTGGCACCGGGGTGGTGGAGGGGTCGAGGAGGAGGCAAGTGGGCGTGTTGTAATCCTTTCACACGATAAAATTGATCTCCGCCGTAACTGATGTCACATTACCCCAGATTCGCGCTGTAACGGTGACAGGTTCCGGTGTTTTTTCGTTTTTCGTTTTTTTTTTTTTTATACTTATTTATTTATTTTTATACATTATATTGTACATTTTATTCGTCGCCGTCGTCCTCGCGAGGTGACGAAATGTCCATTCGTCCGTCTCACCTTTTGCCGAAAGCCAAGATTAGGACGGACGCGACTCGTATATATCACATGCATATAGTTCTCGAAATTAAAAAAAATAATTATAATAAACAATCCAAACTATCGTCGCACCGCAATAATTTAGTTGTATAGGTACTGCTGTGTGGTAATATCCTACGCAAACAGATCCGAAACTGCTACGCAAATCATTCCGTAAAGAAAAACATAACCCGATTTTTTAAACAAGTTCCAAAATTACATTAATTTACTCGCTCGTTAAATGATTTCGCATACTCGATTGCAATACTCAACATTGTACGTTACGATTGAAGTTAACAGTTTCCATTGTTTGAAATTTGAAAATAATTTTTATTAGGTGAATAATTACTACAAATAGGATTTATATCAACTATATCAACTAGACAATTGCATCTAATTTTATTTAACTATCTTTGAAGACGGCATATTAGCTCCAAGTATCATATACTACAGAATAAATTATAATTTGTACTTATATTTCGTCATATAGGTACTGATTACTATAACTTATATACGTATCATTATAACATCTTCACAATATTAAATAAATACTTGAAGTCTTATTTATTCGTATGAATAGTTTTTATTAAAAAATCCCCTGAAATACAAAATAATTGAATTGCTTATTTCTGTGTATACAATTTATTTTTTTAACAATTAAAATTGAACAAAATATGTAAAATACTTTTATACATAGGCACTTGTTTCGATTTCAGTTAATGATAAGTTTTACAATTTAACATTTTTTTTTTTTAAATAATAACGCAATACCTACTAATTTAGAGATGTCTAAAATACATAATGAAATGTATATCATTGATTAAAGTGTATTAATATTTATAATCGATGATAATAGGATGAAGTACAAGATCAGTTATGGTTTCCCGAGAATTCATTGAGTAATAATTACTAATTATGTACGGGACAGGAGATTAATTAAATTAAATACCACTCATAAGTTCATTTAAATGTTGTATTTTTTTGTTTTTAATATTACTTTAGGTTCCTTTTAATATTTATTATAAGTTTTCCTGGCTTCGGTTCAACTAGACTTATGAGTAAAAGTACTATATTTTTGAATTTGTGTACTTAACATAATCATTGACGACTCGTGGACCGGATGAGGGGTGAGATAGATATTTTCAAAATTTATATAAGAACTCACTTTTGAGAATCATATCAAAATGCCTTAAAAGAATGAAAACATACCTTTGCATTTGAATATTTGAATTATTTATTACAATTATGGGGCGACCGTCGTTTAATATCTCATGTTTGTTATTTTGACTACGGCGGGAAAATGGTGTTTGTAACTTTATATTAATGTCATTATACGGAAACATAATCTTTATAATAGTTCGTTGTTATTAAATATTAATAAATTATTATAGACCACAAACAAATGATGTAAAAAACAATGAAGTAAAAGTATAAAATGTTCATTATTTTATAAGAAATGATATTTTTAGTTAGTGATAAAAGTATTACGGGTAAAAGTTTATATTACACGACTATCTCTCTATTCCAATTTTTATCTTAGATGTAAATGACTAATGGACTATGTTAGCATTACCCGGAGGCAAAAATCTTTCTGCCTCGTTTCATCAAACAATTTTCGACTTCTCCACTTTATATAATATATTATATTATTTATATAATCATACCGAAAATCGGAGATAAAATATATTAAACCTCTCGAAACTCTTCGACACTCTCCAGCTTTAGGTTTCAGCGATCATTCCACCAAATATAAGATACAATCAAAATCTTAATTTATCTTATCTGTGGTTCTAATTTCTATTGTTCTACGAAGGCTCGAACATTTTCTGTCATAGTTTTTGTTAAATTTCATTGGATACATAATATATATAATAAAAAAAAACTTTTCTATTTTAAATTTAATTATTACTGAATATAATATTCTTAAAGGCAATAGGAAATAACTACATATATAACATAGTATACTTTTTTATTATTTACAATAGTAGGGTGAGGCTGAGCCTCATTGCATTCCCTGACGAGCCGCCATTAAGCATAACGTCCAATATGTATTATGTGTATGCAAATAAACTACAAGTTATCGACAAATGACGGTTAGATGACGGTATTGGATTTAATAGAAAGATAAGTATAAGAATTACAAAAAAATAATTTTTTTGAATTCTCAGCAGAGTAAGAATGTGTGTCTTTTAATATTTTAATGTTAGGTTATACATTTGTACTATTTAATAGGTAGCGTTGATATTTATAAAATAAAAAATATCTTTAATTCAGTTTGTTAACTGTAGGTATAGTAAATTTACTAACCTAAAAATAAATAGTTGATTATATTGTGTACCTATTTTGATTACAATAAACATTTTATTATTACCGTTTTTTTTATACTATTATTTACTTGGAAAATGTACACCCATTACAAGAGAAGACTAGTTCCAAACACCACCTACTCAAATGGGTTAGAATTATTACCAAGTACATATTTGATGGTGTAATTAGGAGTAGAGTGTTAATTATAATGTTAACGTTATAATTATTAATAATTATGTATTTTTTAGAAAGTGTTATAAACTTATAATAATTAACCATGAAAATTGGTGTATGGTCCTATGGGAAACACTGAAATACAGTATTAGTTAAGTTAAATAATTAATTCACTGATTCTATCTCCTATGTATTATACGAAGTACCTATTATGTAGGTATATAATGTTAAAAATATTACGCGTGTTAATTAAAAAAAAAATTATGAGCCATTCTGCTGATTAAGAAGTCTACGAGACTTACCGAATTCCCAAAAATGATCCTTGTGTGAGTAAAAAAAAAGTTGAACCCTGTTTACTGTTATTTCTGCAATTAAAAATTAACAAAAATACATTTCTAAGTGGACTATGAGAGACGGTTCCTAAGCACTTTAATATCATTAATCTGCAGTGAGTATTATATGCAGTCATTTTGGATTTTATTTCTAATTCATCCTTTAAAACACATTATGAAGATGCATATGTTACAAGTTATCTTTGGAAAACAAAAAAACGCAAATCATCTGTGCACAACGACTGGTATGTATATTATGGCAATCACGGTGGAAATATTATGGTTAACGTATTTTATTATCTTCAGGATTATCTAACATCACCTACAGTTTGTCCATGCTCAAATATAGTAAGCAATTAAACAGTAAAGAAATAACTACCGACTCTCACGCGAAGTCAGTCAGTACGTAGTATTATTAACTCCCTTGATAATTTATTGCCTACGCCCTTGATTGTAACTTGTATATATACTACAAATAACAACGTGTACCTAAGTATAGAATGACGCCGATATTGATTTTATAGATTTGAAAATAATTACAATAGTTTTTCAAATTAAAAATAACAATCTTCTTTTTACGGGATAAAAGAGCCCTCGAAATGTGTTTTTTGTTTACCGTTACAACTGCTGAATAGTTTACCGAAACGCGGTTGTGCGTTAACACTGCAACATCATATAAATTTTAATTGAGCGCTCCATGCTATAGCGATTTTATCATCCCTCGTCGTCCGGTGCAGTGTTTTTGGATTTTTTACGACAGTCGATATAGTGTTGTGGATACTTTCTTTATAAGTTGCACGAAAAACTCGTTATTTTAAACAGAAACACAACAGAATTCGGTCCAAATCATGAACATATCACAAACATGGACATTTAATTTTATCTCTTAGCTTTGTCGTAAGTATACCAATGGCGCCAAAGTTATTGTTGCATTATACCGCAGGGCGTATACATTATACAGATATACGAGTACATAGGCGTGTATGTATTCTATATAGGTAAAATATAGGTAGGTACATGTAATAACTAAATAACCGTGTGCTGCAGTTGTGTCAGTCAAGCAGATGCGCGATAACCAATGTTTATTTACCTTATTATTGTTATCGACTTAGGACTAACCGCTATTATAGTCGATGGAATTTAAAATAATTTGTAATGTTAAAAATCATTTACGATAAAATATAACATGGACAGGGGAATTCAACCAATTTTATTTTATAGTTTCAATTTAGGGGTAGGATATTTATGCATTCACAGATTTATCCTGGTTAATCGTGTTTGCGAACTATATTTCGTAAAAATTGACTGTTAAGATCAAAAATACAAAATAATTTTAAACTTATTAAAAAACATAAATAATATAAATAAATAGCATAAATATATAATAATATATAATATATACATAGCATAAATCTACGATTTAAATTGTATGTCTGAACTATTTTTAAATAAACATTTTATTTAATGTAATAGTTATTTTAAAATGTTATTATCGACAAGTTTAGTAAGATTAATCAAATTAGTAATTTTCTGTTCTTATATTAATTAATGGAATTAAAAAAATATTTCTTAGACTTTTACATATAGACACAATCTATTAAATATGGTTAACATTTTAAAATGGGAATGTTATATAATTGCATATTGTTTTTATTACTTAAAAA